TACTGCTGGACATAGGCCTCTCCAATTGTTCGCCACTCCGCACGATCCTCGGCTTCTCTCATCCAGTTCCTGCCAGCCACCCTGTACAGATCATCGCTCCACCGAGCCTGAGGGCGTCCTGCACTGCGTTTTCCAGTTCGCGGTCTCCACTCAAGAACGCGTTTACCCCAACGGTTATCGGTTGTCCGGCTAATATGGCCAGCCCATTGCCACTTCAGCTTACTAATTCGCTGTGCTATGTCGATAACTCTCTCTCTCTCTCCTGTAAAATTGCAGAAATGTCGCTTAACCCAAATAAATAGTCTTTCAGATCACGGTATGATCATTTAAAAAAATGCGACCTAACTCGATGGATTTATTGGTGGTATTCAAAGGGTTATCCTATCTAGATTCCAAAACCACTAATAGACTAGCATTATCTGGTTTAATGTTATTGTAATATGATCATAATTATTTGTATACTACAACCACAATATCAATCAATTTCCTGGTGGTAGGACATCTGGTGAGTCCGCACCGGTAGGTACCACTACCCTGCCTATTTCTGCCGTTGTAACTATACTGAGACCTTAGAAGTCATATCTCAATGTGGATGGCGACATTTACGTTGTAGATGTCTATGGGCTCCGGAAAAGCATTACTGCTTCACGGCAGAAATAGGCAGGGTGGTGGTACCTACCCGCGCGGAGTCAAAAGAGGTTCTACCACCAGTAAAATACCTCAATATCGTTGACAAAGAGAAAGGAAAAGAATAACTTAATAGAAATTTCCTCATCAATAACACAATCCGAAAACGATTGCATACAACACGTTATTAATTCATATTTAGTCATCGGTTTTGAAATCGACACTTGGCTATTACACGCATGAACAGATAGATCATGCTGGCATTTTAAACGAACCTAATGTCTCTTGAGATATCATTACAAGAATCTTGGAACGCAATTCTAACGGTCGATTCTCAAATATCAAGCCAATAAACAGGCATCTAGAATTGGAGGCTATAATTATTATCGCAATTAAAAATTTCGGTTTGAAGTAATGTTGAAGTTTAATGTTGATAGAGACAGAGTGCATTTGCTGAATCCCTCATCCGGGGTACACGTTTGAGCGTTGTCGATCCAAAACTATTTAGCCAGACTTTAAAAACATCTAAGCAAAGTAAGGGAATTACTTTAATAGCTCTCTGCTTACTGATGGTAGGACCTGTTGTGAATCCGCACGGGTAGGTACCACCACCCTGCCTGCTTCTGCCGTGATGCAGTAATGCGTTTCGGCTTGAAGCGTGGGTGGCGGCATTTACATTGTAGATGTCTATGGGCTCCGGTAACCACTTAACACCAGGTGGGCTGTGAGCTCGTCCACCCAGCTATGCAATAAAAATAATAAAACACTCTAGTGGTTAAGTCTTCAAGACGAATAGGCCGTAGAGAATATTGGTACATACCGATATACCCCAATATATTTAAAGAAGCTACAAAACGGTTAGCAAACAATCTTGACTCTGTAGTCAAAGATCTGTCGATTTTAGAGGTTCTCCGTTGGAAACAAACAAAGATAAAGAAAAAAAAAACAAACAAACAAACAAGGCCAGAAAGATGCCGATTGACCAACAAAATATGGACCAAACATTCTATAAATAAAATCTAAATTGACACCGAACTATGGAATTTTGCTTCAGATAATACCAAAAAATGTTTGATTTATTTATCAATCGCCTACTCTCAAAATTTAATAACGACGCACAATAAAATATTTTCTTGAAATCAGACAGAAATAATTGGAGACGGCAAAGTTTCGATCATATTGAAGCATCTTGCAATTTCCCATGTCTTTTAGTACACAGTTTTCTTTTTTTGGGACTGATGTATCGCGAATAGTTTAGAGATCTTGCCGCTTAACTCGAACCATATACGAACTTATATGCAATTTTTTCCTTTACCAAAATTTACCAGTAGTCTCTTTCGTTTCTTCTTGATTGACGGGCGAGAGTTACTCAATCGCATCTATATGTAACCTCTATAATAATATGCTTTATGACATAAACCTTAAAGAGGTTATACCTATTAAGTTATACAGGTGACACATAAATGGTATTTTGATTATTGAAACATAAGAACTGGTGAAGCTTAAATGTTTTTTCTCTAAACAGAGCAAGCTAAACATTATTTTATGATACATAAAATAATACATTATAAAACAACATTTAAGCTATTGCTTCACCAGTTCTTATGTTTCTTATGTTTCAATGTTTCTAATGTTTCTTCTCTAATGTTTCAATATTCAAAATACCATTTAAATAAATAAATATTTACTAACAATCACGTCACGTTAACTGGTCCCGTGATAAGTTCGTAAAGAACTTGTGTTACAAGTACCAGATAACGGATATAAATGTAAGATTTTTATTATACACATACATATATTTAATAGACATCCATAACCCTGGAAAAGACATTTATATTTATCATTCAAATATCTTCCCTTGGCGGGATTCGAACCTGCGACCCCCTTGTGTAGTGACCATGTCACTTACCACTACACCAGACGGCCGTTTCAATTCAATCAAAATTCAAATTTATCTGTCACCTGTATAACTTATTATAACCTCTTTAAGATTTATATCATAAATCATATAGAGGTTACATATACACTAAGTGAGTAAGTACGAGTGTAATATAGAAGCTATAGAAGAAATAGTTGCAGATATCCATCCGTTAGAGTTACTGTACGAAGTCAGAAAAAATGGCTATACTTGTGTGTTCAGGCGATAACAGTTTGATCTGCTTATCATCAACTCATGTTTCACGGTCGCTAGACATAACGCGCAGAGAAGCTGAACAATGAAAATGAACTGGCAACTGGCACATTGCATTATATTGTCATTTTGCAATCTACACAATTTCAGAGATATTGGCAATGAACTATTATGTTTCAAGGAATTGTTTCAAGGTTATATTGTAAGTTCGCCTTACTGGTGGTAGGACCCTGCCTATTTCTGCCGTGAAGCAGTAATGCGTTTCGGTTTGAAGGGTGGGGCAGCCGTTGTAACTATACTGAGATCTTAGAACTTATATCTCAGGGTGGGTGGCGCATTTACATTGTAGATGTCTATGGGCTCCAGTAACCACTTAACACCAGGTGGGCTGAGAGCTCGTCCACCCATCTAAGCAATAAAAAAAGATATGTTTTTTCTTATCTATGTATTTTGTATGTATGTACGTCTATGTACATTTCGTCTAACATTTTGAAATACATGATCTCTTGTTCAAAACACCGATTGCTTGATTGTTTTGTAGTATGTTGTGGTTTGTATAATTTATTTTACTGGTGGTAGGACCTATTGTGAGTCCGCACGGGTAGGTACCACCGCCCTGCCTATTTCTGCCGTGAAGCAGTAATGCGTTTCGGTTTGAAGGGTAGGGCAGCCGTTGTAACTATACTGAGATCTTAGAACTTATATCTCAAGGTGGGTGGCGTATTTACGTCGTAGTTGTCTATGGGCTCCAGTAACCACTTCACACCAGGTGGGCTGTGAGCTCGGCCACCTAAATAAACAATTAAAAAAAAGATATGTTTTTTCTTATCTATGTATTTTGTATGTATGTATGTATGTACGCCTATGTATTTATTTTGGTAATGTAATTATAACTTAGTGTTTATTTTCACTCATGTCTACTATAATTCTTTAAATTATCGCCATGTATTAACTTTATCACAGCTACGCACTTCTTGCATCTTTCACTTCATCAACGAGGGTTAACCGGAAGAGAATGTCTGCATGGCGTTAAGTTCGCCTTTGTACAATATTTTTGTGCAATAAAGAATTTTCAATCAATCAATCAGTATGCTATAAATTGGATACGGAAAACGGAGGACCGTTCATTGTGGCTGACTATGGGAGAGGCCTACATCCAGAAGTGAATAGATACAGGCTGATGCTGATGATCATTGGCGGATTTACACTAAGGCCCGGTAGGCACGGGCCTAGGGCGGCCAGATTTAGGGGCGGCCCCAATCTTATCAAAAAACTTATTATAACGTATGGCGGGCGGACTACACTGCATGGGGCAATCTAAACCGCATAAAACTATTTTTTTTCCTAAATTTCTAAATCTATTTAGATAAAAGTTGGTAATAAAGTAATTTCATTATGTAGTCTATATGGTGGATGCTGAGAAAGGGGCGGCTGATGGCTTGGAGCCTAGGGCGGCCGAGACTGCAAATCCGCCACTGATGATGGATGATGTAATTAATGCAACTTTTCTTGTTTACAAATTGGCCTATTAACACGAAACGCGGCTACATTTCTCGCTTAAATTACAATCACTTCAAGCGAGTACCTTATGATTCTGTATGTGTAATTTTCTTTTATCTCAACTACATTTCTCGGCAGAAAATGGCTTTAATTTTTACTTAATATTTGGTTTTTGCTGTATTTTTTTTGTCTCAACTTTAAGACTGATTTTAGTTTGTATCATTATAAAAAACCTTTTGAAATTTCATTAATATGTGCAATATGTTACTACAACTTAAGATTTAAATTTAAGTTCAATAATGTCTTAACTATACATCTAGTAGGTATTGATATTTAATAATGAATCTTATTGCACTTAGATAAACTAATCGGAACTACATATTTTTTAACTCGCTGTCAATAAGCAGTCATCGCGAATTCTGTCTCAATTAAAATAAGTCGCTTTCGCAGACCTCGTCTGAACTTTTTTGGTAATTATAGTGTCTACTACTAAATTTGAGATAGTTTTTATGCACTATGAGGGTAGACGAATTCTTAGACTACCTAGTGTTCAATGGTGATTGGAATTATAAAGGCCACTCTCGCACATCCAGACATGAAGTCGAAAACTAAAATTGTAGATACCACAACACATGAAGGTTTCGCGACAGAAACATATTATAGCATTATCAAATTTAAGTTTGAAATATTTTAAGGCTTAGTCTAGAGTGAGTTAATTAATTAAACAAGAAGAACCACTGACCTGATCCACAAAGTTCTCCGCGGTGAACCTCTTCGTGAATTCTGTGAACGTCTCCTTATCCTGGAGGCTCTCGCGGCGCGCTCGCTCCACCTTCAGCTTCTTGATCCCGCTGATGTCCTTCGACATTTTGAGCTCCTCTATCAGATCGGTCTTAGCGCTACGGTAGTTCTCAGCCGCGCTGGGTATACACTGCAGGCTGAGGGACCTGGTCGGGGGCGGTGCGGACATGGTCTTGGTGGCTGGGGTCCGCAGCCGGACGGCGGAGAGGTCAGCGCTGCTGATGGCCGCGAGGGGTTGGGGCGCGAGGGGCGGAGGCGGGGGTGCATCCTCGGGCACGGGCGGCGGCGGAGGAGGCCGGCCCTCCGCCGCGCCCTCGTCCCGCTTGCAGGGCGCCGTGATTGTTTTCAAGTACTCGGAGGGTTTGATGAGGCGGTCGGGCGCGTTGTGCGGGAAGGCTGGCGGCACGAATGGTAGCGCGGGCTGCTTGTTGACGAGGTTGGGTCCGCGCGGTCGCTCGTCGTCTGCAGAGGCGCGTCGTCCCGCTGTGGAACGCAAACACTTGAGAGGGGAGAGAAAATCCGCGCATCGCCGCGCACGCACACAACGCGACCGCGTCGTACCACATCGAGCATTCAATCACACAACACATCTTACAGATGTACTAAGAAATTATTTCCCTTCAGGAAAACTCGGATCTTTATCGGAATACGATGACAGCCGAACTGTCAATGAATGTTTGTATTATAAGTACAGGTACATATTAAATATTATTCCTTGGACTGGATTTTTTAACGGTTTTCGTGGTTTCGGCATGGCTATACAACATTTTTATAAGTAATGTGAAAATGTCATTAAAACTATATAGAATATTTGGATTGCGTATTATCCACTCTATATATATATCTTGGTACTGAAGCTATTTGTGAGAGCACGATAAATACGAACTTTTTCGAAAAATACGAAGAATTTTTTTTTCTCACTATATCTGTCCCTATATTTTTTTATGATGAGAGTTTACTGGTGGCCTTTCCAGTTTCACAACAATGACAGGTCGGCGAGACAACACATCTTACCTATTTACCGACAACCCGATGACAGTAACATCGTGCAAAAGCAAACGACCGTAGCAAGTATGCAAGATGTAGAAGTCGTCGTGGCCTAAAAGATAAGACGTCCGGTGCATTCGTGTTAAAGCGATGCACCGGTGTTCGAATCTCAGGCGGGTACCAATTTTTCTAATGAAATACGTACTCAATAAATGTTCACGATTGACTTCCACGGTGAAGGAATAACATCGTGTAATAAAAATGAAACCCGCAAAATTATAATTTGCGTAATTACTGGTGGTAGGACCTCTTGTGAGTGCGCGCGGATGGGTACCACCGCCCTGCCTATTTCTGCCGTGAAGCAGTAACGCGTTTCGGTTTGAAGGGTGGGGCAGCCGTTGTAACTATACTGAGACCTTAGAACTTACATCTCAAGGTGGGTGGCGCATTTACGTTGTGGATGTCTATGGGCTCCAGTAACCACTTAACACCAGGTGGGCTGTGAGCTCGTCCATCCATCTAAGAAAAAAAAAAGATGTAGGTTATCTTCCGAATTATACTAACTACATTGTGATAGAGTACATATAAATAATAACGATGATCAGTAATGAGCGAACAATTAGTATTGGGTTTGGTTCGAAACGTCACGAATACCTATACTTTACAGTTTTCGTGGTCACGGACGACCGTAGCCAACGACCGCAAACCCAAAACCAAAGAAAATATTATTATAAAATTATAATGTTATGTGAGCGATATGACGTAGTGGAGAACATACTGCCCAAGACCGATGCGAATGGAAGAATTTGGTTCGAGCCCTATACCCCAGCAGAGGGTAATAGGAAAGAAAGAAAAAGATGAAGCGGTGTAAATGTGTTTTTCATTACAAATCAAGCTATTTTTCGAGTTTTAAATTTAGAACGAGATTTAAATTGTTCAAGATGATACCAATGTCTCGTTTTTACCATCGCACCGCCCGCCACCGGAGTAGAGTTCATCCATACTACCTGGAGCCACTACGGTCATCGATAGTGCGTTTTCAGAGATCTTTTTTGCCACGTAACATCCGGCTTTGGAATGAGCTCCCCTCCACGGTGTTTCCCGAGCGCTATGACATGTCCTTCATCAAACGAGGCTTGTGGAGAGTATTAAACGGTAGGCAGCGTCTTTGCTCTGCCCCTGGCATTGCTGATGTCCATGAGCGACGGTAACAACTCACCATCAGGTGGCCCGTATGCTCATCTGTCTGTACGGCAACTCTAAGACTCGCGAAGGCCTTATGAAACTATCTTTAGACGAATATAATTAATTACATTTCAAAAGTAAGAGAACTTTTATAATTTGTTGTGAGTATCACGAATTTGTTAAATTGTTTTTTTTTATTTATTCATAGATATTTTCTCAGAAAAATGTTCAATCTCGAACCAAGCTAGCCAATAAGTATTAATATTATTAGTAGGGCGGGGATTAAAAAACCGACTTTCATAGTTTTTAAGAAAAAACTTGTTATTGCTTCATTATAATATTATATTATATTAGTATTTATTTATATTTATTTAAAATGTTATAAATTACACAATATTTTTAATAAAGATATTATTTTTTTTATTTTTTTTAAAAGCATTATATAAAAATATATTTCCGCTGATGGCTGTGTAAAACACAAGCCACAAGTAGTTAGGACTCCAGAGTGAGAAACCTCCTCACAAATCGCGCAGTATCGAGGATAACTGCCTTTTTTTTATTTTTTTTTTATTGCCTAGATCTGTGGGCGAGCTCACAGCCCACCTGGTGTTAAGTGGTTACTGGAACCCATAGACATCTGCAACGTAAATGCGCCACACACCTTGAGATAGAAATTCTAAGGTCTCAGTATAGTTACAACGGCTGCCCCACCCTTCAAACCGAAACGCATTGCTGTTTCACGGCAGAAATAGGCGGGACGGTGGTACCTACCCGTGCGGACCCACAAGAGGTCCTACCACCAGTGCCTTCTGTATTAGGCCCCCTAACCCAGCTGGATTAATATTACATTAATATTATCAATATAATTGAGTGTCCGCGTAGATTTTCTCGTGTAAACAAAACACGATTAAAAAGCAAGCCAATGTATTACGTGATTAAAAATGAAAATTCTTTTAACGACTTCCGATGCTCAAATAGTTTACAGTCTTCCGTGATTACTGAAACTACCGGTTAAACAAAATAATTTATCCGCTCGATGACCTCTCTGACATATAGCTAATAGTTTTCATAGAAGTTACGGTAATTGCAAGCAAAATTCCCCATATCAACTTGGAACATGTAACCGAAGTCTTTCAATGCCTTTTTGAAATCTCTATTACCTATAGAAAGACACGTCACTGTGTTCGCTCTACACTATTCGCCTTATACACACATAATTGACGATAACCACAAACAGCATTTTAGAAACTTCGAAACGCTTCCAGAGAAATTTCCTTCAAAACATATAACAAATTGTATCTATCTGCGTACTTTCCTAAGAAATCAGAAACACTTCAAACTGTTCGATGTTTTAGCTGTTTATTATTGACAAACAAAATAATCAAGAAGTACTGGTGGTAGGACCTCTTGTGAGTCCGCGCGGGTAGGTACCATTGCCCTGCCTATTTCTGCCGTGAAGCAGTAATGCGTTTCGGTTTGAAGGGTGGGGCAGCCGTTGCAACTATACTTGAGACCTTAGAACTTATATCTCAAGGTGGGTGGCGCATTTGTATACGTCTACGGGCTCCAGTAACTACTTAACACCAGGTGGGCTGTGAACTGGTCCATCCATATAAAAAATAAAAAAAAATCTTTATTTTTATATATTTCGACTGTTGCATTAAAGTGAAATTTTGATATAGATTTTGAGAGATTTGTTTACATTATACGATGTAATAAATAAGATGACTATTCTTACTATTCTCGACTACCCTAGCCTGAAACAACCACAATGAAAAAAACGAAAAAAAAAAAAAAAAAGCCTGAAACAACCATAATGACTCGTCTATAAACAACATACTCTAACTCATATTATCAAAGTGCAGTTTTAGCTTAGGCCTATGATATTTTAGTACCTAAAACTGTGGTGCTCTTTTAAATAGTTGCATAAAGTATCTGTAACTTTAGTTTTAATTGAAGAATTTAATGAAAATACCTTTTTTTGTTTTCTTAAAATAATGCGAATAAAATATTTAACACAATACACTCGTATTGAACTGACACCTTTATGACACAACGCCTTCTTTATTTGACCTATATTTTATTCTTACACATATTTCTTGCCGAAGTGATTTGTTAATAATAAAATAAAAATGGATTTCAAAATATTAATTGCTATAATCGAAGCAAGTCACAGTTGACCGGCTCTGCTCACACAATTTAAGTACACCGTTTAAATAACTTGCTTCGTAATCACGAGTACTTTAAGTGTGGAGAAATATTTACGTAAAGAAACCCATTTGTTATGTTGCTCATTGATTTCCACACAAAACTAGAAGACAAATTTTATTTGGTAGGCAGCGGCTTGGCTCTGCCCCTGGCATTGCTGACGTCCATGAGCGACGGTAACCACTTACCATCAGGTGGGCCGTATGCTCGTCTGAATATAGGGCAATAAAAAATTAAAAAAAATAGATACATTTTATTTTTATTTTTTTATTGCTTAGATGGTTGGACGAGCTCACAGCCCACCTGATGTTAAGTGGTTACTGGAGCCCATGGACATCTACAACGTAAATGCGCCACCCACCTTGAGATATAAATTCTAAGATCTCAGTATAGTTACAACGGCTGCCCCGCCCTTCAAACCGAAACGCATTACTGGTTCACGGCAGAAATAGGCAGGGCGGTTGACTTTCGCAACGTTTGACTTTCACAGAATTTATTACCTAAATAAATAAATGTCAATTAATATAGCGCACACAAATTATCGCGAGCGATTTTTTACCTTCGGGAAGTTCTTCGACTTATAATAATTACCAAATCAAAAAGACAACAAATCATCTAATTGATAATACTTGTTTTTATATGTTTTTATATGTGTATATATTTATGTTATGTATATGTATATATTTATGATATGTATATCTATATATTTATGTATATGTATTTATTTAAGTACGAGTATTTGTATCTATAAATATTGTTATATTTAGGTACACACATGTTTAAGTAATATCACCTTCACACTACACCTACCAAGCTTCATCTCTGCACTCCCCTAAGGTAGACCCCTAAGGTAAGGTCTGTTAGAGAATGCCTATGGCATTAAGTCCGCCTTTATAGTATAAGAAGTTATAAATAAATAAATAAATAAACAATTCGAACGAATTATTTACATATCAATGAAAGTCTTTGAAATTGGTTCGGGCTTTTAGAAGATTTCACTCAAACAAAACAAACCCAAAAAAATTTTTGCGTTTGTTATGGAGTACACAGCCAATGTCTTTACTACAGAATCTATTATATTATAATTATACTTGAGGCCTTAG